ACCCTGTCTCTACTAAAAATAAAAAATTAGTTGGTCATGGTGGCATGGGCCTGTAATCCCAGCTACTCAGGAGGCGGAGGCAGGAGAATCGCTTGAATCCAGGAGGTGGAAGTTGCAGTGAGCCGAGATCGAGCCACTGCACTCCAGCCTGAGCGACAGAGCAAAATAAATAAATAAATACTATTTGTCTCAAAATAAATAAATAAATAAGTAAAAATAGAATAATAATACATAGTGAGAAGTATTATTAGATCCAGCTGGCCTGGCATATGGTTGGCATATGTCTCTAGCTTCTGCCACTGATGCCAGTCTCCCCTATCTTTAATTTCACTGGTCACTTTAGAGAATACTGGAAGTAGGAGGTTTGTTAACTGGGTCCACTGGCTCCATATTATCGTTTTGCCCAGGAATTTCTCTTTACATGTTTGGGCTGGTTTCTGTTGGTATAAGGAAATAAATTGATTTCCAAACACGTATCTTAATTTAATTTTATTTTTTGAGATAAAGTCTCGCTTTATCACCCAGGATGGAGTATAGAGACACCATGTTGGCTCACTGAAACCTCCGCCACCTGGGTTCAAGCAATTCTCCTGCCTCAGCCTCCCTAGTAGCTAGGATTACAGGCGTGTGGTACCACGCCCATCTAATTTTTCTCTTTTTAATGGAGACGGGATTTTGCCATGCTGGCCAGGCTGGTCTTGAACTCCTGAACTCAAGTGATCTGACTGCCTCTGCCTCCCAAAGTGCTGGTATTATAGGCATGAGCCATCGTGCCCAGCCAAATGGTTGTTGATAATGGCATCTTTTTTAAATTTTGTAATTTGATTATTTATTATTAATTTATTTTTTGGAACAGCGTCTTACTCTGTCACCCAGGCTGGGGTACAGTGGTGTGATCATAGCTCACTGCAGCCTCAAACTCCTTGGCTTAAGTGATCTTCCTGCCTCAGCCTCCCCAGTAATAAGCACATGCCACAACTCCCGGCTAATGTTTTTTCTAAAAAAAAAATTTATTTTCTTTTTAAATTTTTGGTAGAGATGGGGTCATGCTGTGTTGCCTAGGCTGGTTTCGAACTCCTGGGCTCAAGTGATCTTCCCACCTGGGCCTCCCAAAGTGCTGGGTTTATAGGCATGAGCCACCATGCCTGGCCAATAATGGCATCTTTACCTCAATCCTAGTTTAACAAAGAATACATTTCTCCTTTCTCTTGTAGGTACATGTGAACTATTTATGATAAAAGTAGTTGACTGGGCATGGTGGCTCATTCCTGCAATCCCAGCACTTTGGGAGGCAGAGGCGGGAGGATCTCTTGAGCCCAGGTATTCAAGACTAGCCTGGGCAACACAGCAAGACACCCCCCCCTCCCCGCATCTCTATTTTTAAATTTTTTTAATTTGAAAAATTATCAATGCAAAAATTAAAAAGCAGTTATCTTGTCAAGAAAATGTCTTGCTTCCTTTGTTTTAATCTTAAGTTTGCTGTTATTACTGTTTTTAAGTTAGGTAGGGCTGTTTAATTTCATCAAATATGGTTTCAGTATTTATTGAAATTATAAGTCTATTTTACATTTTCGTTTCCTTGACCTTGTGACAGACATGATGTATAGAGATTTTCCCAGAGCTCCCCTTGGAAATGAGTAGCCAGCAAACTACTTTGTGTTCAAAGTAGTGGCAAAAGTATTGGACCATGCAATAAGGAACATGAGGACATTGAGATATCCATTCAGGGAAAAATTTAAGTTTGATTCCTTCCTTGCAACCACATAACAATTCTAAGTGGATTAGACACTAGACCTTGAGAAAACCTTAAAGCTATTTGAAGAAAATATAGAAAAATATCTTTGCAGCCTTGATTCAAGGAATCATAATCAAGTTGTAAACTCTGTAAGTCATAAAAGAAAATACTGAGAGATTTGGTTACCTAATATTTAAAACTTCTGAACGATGAAAGGGTTCACCAAGAAAGTTAAAGCAATGGAAGGCTGGGAGAAGATATTGCCAACATATATGACAGACATTACATTAATAATCAGATTATAGAAAGGAAAGGGAGGAAAATAGAAAAAAGGAATTGAAGAGGCAAATAAAGCTTAACCTCACTTATAAGAAATAGTTTGTAAATAAAATAACAACAAGGTAACATTTTCCATCATCAAGCTGTCAAAATTTTAAATGATAAATATCCGGTGTTGGAGAATGTAGGAGAATGCGTTGGAGAATCTAGGCTTACACTTCGGGGAACTCCAATCCAGAAGTATTTATGTAAATGGCGCCCCCTGCAGCCCAATTCCTACCGAGACCAACGTGTACTCCGGTTCACGTTGGAACAGCGCTGAAAGACTTCTGTCCCTCCTGTGGGCTTAGTGACAATTTGAGGAACAGTTTTTGGCCTACCTGGCAAAACGTAAAATGCTCTTTGACACAAGATTCCTCTTCCAGCCTTTCAGAAATACATGAACTATGTACATAAAGATATATGCAAAAGTATGTTTATTAAAGCATATTTTATATTGGAGGAAAAAAGGAAGCAATCTACATGCACATCAATAGGGGACTGTTTGGACAAATAATGCTGCTTGCATCCATTCAATGGGATATTTTGTAACTCTTAAAAGGAATGAAGTGGAATTATCTGTACTCACATAGAATGATCTTCAAGTTTTGTTTGTTTGTTTGTTTGTTTTTGTTTTTGTTTTTTAAGACAAAGTTTTGCTCTGTTGCTCAGGCTGGAGTGCAGTGGTGCAATCTTGGCTCACTGCCACCTCCGCCTCCTGGGTTCAACCGATTCTCCTGCATCAGCCTCCTGAGTAGCTGGGACTATAGGCACCCAACACCACGCTCTGCTAGTATTCTGTATTTTCAGCAGAGATGGAGCGTCACCATATTGGCCAGGCTGGTCTCAAACTCCTGACCTCAGGTGATCCACCCACCTCGGTCTACCAAAGTGCTGGGGTTACAGGCGTGAGCCACTGCACCCAGCCAAGATTTAATGTTATGACTGAGATAAACATGAATGAAAGCCAGTCTTCAAAATATCTCTTATTTGATCTCATGTATATACATTTGTGTCTAATTATTCATTAGACAGACAGGGAATGCATGGAACTGAAACAGGCACAGCCTACCAAGCTGAGGGGACTGGACCTGAATCATTGAATAGAGGGAATTCATAACAGAAAAGGCTTTATGTTTTACTCTGTATACTTAATTACTTTATGCTCTCCCACAACAAGAATGTATTGTATATGGTTTGTTTTTCTTCTTAATCTTAAATTCAGAATATAAGGTAGCCCATTGGCTCTGAGCTACAAGAATCCTTATGGGTTTGGCAGTTCTATGACAACTTTGCACCTGGCTAAACCATCAAGGAACGTCCCACCACCAAGCGTGAGACATTCTTGGCATTCCTGAAATAAATTCTTCTTCTGAGCCAGTTCATGTGGGCATCATAATCTCCTTGAAAGCTTTTGAAAGATCTAGACCTGGGGCCAGGCCCAGTTGCTCATGCCTATAGTCCCAGCACTTTAGGAGGCTGAGGAGGGCGGATCACAACATCAGGAGTTCGAGACCAGCCTGACCAACATAGTGAAACTCCGTCTCTACTAAAAACACAAAAATTAGCTGGGTGTGGTGGCAGGTGCCTGTAATCCCAGCTACTCAGGAGGCACTGAGGCAAGTGAATTGCTTGAACCTGGGAGGCGGAGGTTGCAGTGAGCTGAGATTGTGCCACTGCCCTGCAGCCTGGGTGACAGAGCAAGACTTTGTCTCGATAATAATAATAAAATAAATAAATAATAAATAATTTAGATTTGAGTCTGTCTCAGATTCTCGGGCTCAGAACCAGAAATTCTGCGTCTGAGGCTATTATGTCACTCTCGGGGAGGGAGTAAGAACTGGATCACTGGTTAGCATGGTGACTGTTCTGGACGATCACACAGCCACAGCCACAGCCAGGAACACAGAAGGCAGAGGGGCAGCCTTGATCTGCAAGGGCCCCAGTTAACCCCAATGGGGACCCTTGATGGACAAAGGCATTCTCCCAGGCTTGCTGATGAAAGCGTTCTACTTACAGCCAGGCAAGGCACTCAGGGCTCTGCAGCAGAGAAGTCAGAGCTGCAGCTTTTTTGCTTTGTGTTTTCACTAAACCTTAATTTGTTGTTGCACTTTGTTGAATAGGCGTGTCCCATAGGGAAGTTTCCGCTACTGTGTTCCAAACTGTGGACTGCTTGTGGCATCTTACTTGTTACCTCATTAATAATGAATTAAATAAAACCTTTAGAGTATGCTAATTTCATATCTTTACGAGAGTCACAATTTTACCTTTTTTTTTTTTTTTTAAGTACCAGTACCTTTTCACGTTGCTATCACTCCCTTACCAGAGCAGTGAATTTCTGGGTCTCCTTCTTAGGGCCAGACACTGTTCCATGTCATTAGAATCAATTTCTTGTTCGTAGGTAGACAAACAAAAGCTTCCACACTCCCAGGAGACAGGGATGCATATCCTGTGCCATGGCTGAGGGTAATGCCGAGGAAGGCACTTCTCTCTGAACCTCAGTCTGCCCACCTCTGAAATGGGTTCATAACAAACCCCTGACCCCAGGATCCGCCGCCTAGAGCCAACGCCCTCACCCAATCCCTCCCCTTCCCTCCCGGGCCCCCAGAAGGCGCGGGGACTCCGGAGGCGGCCCTTTCCTCAGGAGGCGCCCGGGTGGCACTGTCAGCGCCTCAGCTCCCGGGGTCTCTGGACTCCGCGCTGCCCAAAGGGTGCAGAGGGGCCTCTGGAGGGGGCGGGTTCGCTCCAGCCAGAAAGCCCGGAGCCGCCCAGGAATTTTGGCTCGGACTAAGAGCATTTCCTCCCAGGCCGGCCGGGCGCGATCCAGGGAGGGCGGCTGCGGGCAGACGCGGCGCTGCGCTCGGCCGGGCGGGCAACATGCGGCCCCTGCTCTGCGCGCTGGCCGGGCTGGCTCTGCTCCGCGCCGCGGGCGCTTTGGCTGGTGAGTGGGGCGCCGGGCACGGCAGGGGACCCGCAGATGGCGAGGAAGGAATGGGCAAGAGAGAGACAGAGTTGGACACTACAGCGGGATGGAGAGAGAGGAAGATGCAGGGAGGGAGGGATGGAGAGAAAGACGGTGAGAGGAAACAGACGCAGAAAAAGGCAGAGAAGTAGAGCAACGGAGAGATAAAGAAGAGAGGGAAGAATAAATCGCGAAAAGGAAAAAGGAGAGGCCGAGACAGAAAGAGGCTTTATAGATGAACAGATATGAACTAAGATAGAAGAAGAAGGAGTTTAAGAGACCAAAGAGAAGGAAAGAGAAAGAGTGACTAAAATAGCAAGGGGTGGAGGGAGAGTGGATATTGAAGCAAAGAGAAAGATTTGAGAGAGACCACAAAGGAGAGAGAGGGAAGCTCAGTGGCGGGAGTAGAGCTGGCAAGAGAGGAGCCCGGGTCTGGGGTGGGAGGTCACAGCTGCCGGGCGGGGCAGCCCGGGAGGCCAGCTGCATCTCAGAGGGCCTGCGGAGGCTCAGGCCTGGCTTTATAGGACATTGTCTAAGAAGCCAGACTCCAAAGGGTGAGTGACCCAGGCAAGCTCAGCACAGCCTCAAGGAGCCAGACAGGCGGGCCAGGAGAAAGGCCACTGCTTCACCTGCCAGGTGGCCTCAGGTGGTTTTGCAGTTGGTGAGGAAGTCAGCCTCCCAGTTTCCAGGGAGCTTCTCTGGGGGACTGAGCTGTTTTGGGCAGAGGTGGGGCACTGGGTGGAGGTGGAGGGCTGTTCGGGAGGGAGAGGCTCTCTGGGTACTCCATTAGCTGGGTTCCTTGCCTTTTACTCTCCCTTTTCTTTCCCCCACCTCTCCCCTCAGCTTAATGTTGCGCCTTCGCAGGTGAGGCTCAGAGTGACTCTCGTCAAGTGACTTACTAGACTGTAGTCTTGACTATACACAGATGCTGATTCCACCACCCTGCACATTGCACAGGACTTTACAAGCCACGACCCCATTTAGTCAGGGATGGCTATTGCTAATTTTAGTTGTTCAGGTGAGGGGCAAGCTCAGATCTCACAGTGGTGCCAAGGCAGAGCCCTCACAAAACATCCAGGCCTCCTGCCCCTCAGTCCTTGCCCCCACCCAGGCAGAAGTGCCCTGTGCTAAGATAGAAGCACCCACCCCCTTTCAGGGCCCAGTTAACTGTGGGAGTGAGCACGTGGGGAGAGGATCCAGGCCAGCCCTCGTGATCCCTTACCTTGGGTGAGTCCTTTCCTTTCTCTGGGGCTGCTTCTTCCTCTGTCAATTGGGGAGAATGACACCCCCCCCTCAACAGGGCTGGCCTCAGGGATTAGATGAGAGAGGAAGTGCCCAGCAGGGAACATGTATCAACACACATTCTCTTAGATGACTCCGCTGATTTCTCTGAGCCTCAGTTTCCCCACCTGTTAAAGATAACCACCAATGGCTTCCTCACAAGCTGTATAAGGAGTGGCTGGGACTCTGCCCAGCATAGAGTAGAGCCCCCGTACACACCCTGTCATCCCCCTCTCCTTTACCCGCCTCCCAGCTCAGCCCCAGGCTCTGGAAGCTGAGGGCACAAAGCAGCGCCTGTGCTTCCCCCAGAGAGAGGAGGGACTGGCCCGTCCACAAGTGGCTACTTTTCGTGCCCCTTTTAGCCACGACTTGTATAGAGAATTTAAACCCATTTTAAACATTGTTTTTCTTTCTGATTATGAATGTTCATTGCTACAGATTAAGAAGAAAAGGATTTGGGGAGGCCGAAGCAGGCAGATCACAAGGTCAGGAGTTCAAGACCATCCTGGCTAACACAGTAAAATCCCGTCTCTACTAAAAATACAAAAAAAAATTAGCCGGGCAAGGTGGCACATGCCTGTAGTCCCAGCTACTCTGGAGGCTGAGGCAGGAGAATCGCTTGAACCCAGAAGGCGGAGGTTGCAGTGAGCAGAGACAGTACCCCTGCACTCCAGCCTGGGTGACAGAGCGAGACTCCATCTCAAAAAAAAAAAAGAGAGAGAAGAAGAAAAGGAGGAAAGTATTCATGATTAATGTCATTTCACACTGACTTCATACATTTTTGTGCATAATCTTTCAGATTTCAGATATCTCTTAACTTTTGATTATGAAAACTGTTGGATACAAAAAATACAAAATAATAGTATAGGAAAGAATCACATAATGTACTCGTCAACCCTGCTTCAACAAGTTTCAGTTCATGGGCAGTTTTATGTCATCTGCAGTCCTCACCCGCTCCCCTCCCTGGATTATGAAATCCAGGCATTGTATTTTCTTTCTTTCTTTCCTTCTTTTTTGCAACAGGATCTCATTCTGTCACCCATACTAGAATGCAGTGCCACAATCTCAGTTCACTGCAATCTACACCCCCCAGGTTCAAGTGATTCTCCTGCCAAAGCCTCCCAAGTAGCTGGGACTACAGGCATCCACCACCACACCTGACCAATTTTTGTATTTTTAGTAGAGACAGGGTTTCACCATGTTGGCCAGGCTGGTCTCGAACTCCTAGGCTCAAGTGATCCACCTGCCCTGGCTTCCCAAAGTGCTGGCAGGTGTGAGCCACCATGCCTGGACTGACATCATGTATTTCCTTTTCTTTTTTCTTTCTTTTTTTTAGAGAGAGAGGGTTTCACCATGTTGTTCAGGCTGATCTTGAACTCCTGACCTTATGATCCACCTGCCTCGGCCTCCCAAAGTACTGGGATTACAGGCATGAGCCACCGTGCCGAGCCCATAGCTTTTCATCTATAAATATTTCCTTGTGTATCTCTAAGAGATAAGCACTCTTTTAATAAACATAACTGCAATGCCACAATCGCACTCCAAAAAGAGTATGTGATTGAACATCATTAAATATTCAATCACTGTTCAAATGTCTTTGATTGTGTCATATCTTTTTACAATTCATTTGTTTGATCCAAATAAGGTTACATATACTGCATCTGGTCAATATGTCTGTTAGGTCTCTTTAAATATGTAAGTTTTCCCACCCCTGCCCTTTTTTTTTTTTTTTTTTTTTTTTTAGACGGAGTCTTGCTCTGTCTGGAGTACCGTGGCTCAATCTCAGCTCACTGTAACCTCCGCCTCCCGGGTTCAAGTGATTCTCCTGCCTCAGCCTCCTGAGTAGCTGGGACTACAGGTGCTCACCCTGACACCCAGCTAACTTTTATATTTTTAGTAGAGACAGAGTTTCACCATGTTGGCCAGAATGGTCTTGACCTCCTGAACTCATGATCCACCCACCTCGGCATCCAAAAGTGCTGGGATTACAGGCGTGAGCCACCATGCCCAGCTTTTTTTTTTTTTTTTTAACTTAATTTTGTTGTTGTTGTTGAAGAAACTAAGTTCGTTCTGTCAAGTTTTCCACATTTAGATTTTGCTAATTGCGTCCCTTTGATGTTATTTAAATACTTTCATCCCTTGTATTTTCTGTAAATTGAGATCTATCTCTTGCTTGTCCGACTTTCAGCCTTGGTTTATTTTATTTTATTTTTGAGACAGTCTCATTCTGTCGCCCAAGCTGGAGGGCAGTGGTGCAATCTCGGCTCACCACAACCTCTGCCTCCCAGGTTCAAGCAATTCTCGTGCTTCAGCCTCCTGAGTAGCTGGGATTATAGATGCTGTACCAGCACGCCCAGCTAAGTTTTGCATTTTTTAGTAGAGATGGGGGTGGGGGTGGAGGTGGGTTTCACCATATTGGCCAGGCTGGTATCAAACTCCTGACATCAAGGGATCAGCCAGCCTCTGCCTCCCAAAGTACTGGGATTACAGGTTGTTAGCCGCCATGCCCGGCCCCAATCTTGGTTTCTTTCAGCAGCACTCAGAGAAACCTTTATTCCCTGATGGCCTTTTAGACCATCAGCCACTACGCCCGGCCCACATTTTGGAGTTTTTTATAGAATCATTTGAAGAATAGTGTTCTGCTGCTTTCAAAAATAATCAAAACCCATGGATGGTTTTGAATGAATCATACATCTTTATACAAGTATTGGATGTGGTAAAGTTTATTATTCTATTACATTGAATGTGTCCAGGGTTGCTTTCCAAAGCAGACCCTTCAAAGACTGTGACTTTGATAATTCAGAAGATACAGCAACACCTTTCAGAGACGCCACTGAGAAAACCTTTCTCATTGCCCCCCATGCAGAAGCCATCTGCGTTGTGGCACTTTCTTACTGTTTGGGTTCAGATACAAAAGGTCTCCCCATAAGGCCCGGACGTAGAGGGAGCAGTACTTCAGCCTCAGAGGATGGCACCCAGGGGCCACGTCTCTTTAACTGGGGCAGCCAGCCCAGTCCAGCCCTCCCCTGGGGCCTCCCGGCTCCACAGCAGCCTGTTCTCACCAGCACAGGATGCCCCGCCCGTGGCCACCATCCAGGGTGCGCATCAGCCCCGGAGCAGGAGCTAGGCCAGAGAAAACAACACAGCATCCAAGGAGGTCCATTTCCCAACTGGCAGGGCCCAGGAGGGTGGGAGGAAAGGAAGGAAGGGAGCCCTGTGGGGCCACAGCCTTGGCTGCTCAGGGTTAATCATCAGAATCCTTCAGCCTTTTCCACTCCCCTTGTCTGAGCCGCTGACAGCCCCATGGGTGCGTGTGTGTGTCTACTAATTTTTTTTTTTTTTTTTTACTTTTTTTTTTTTTACAAGACAAGGTCTTTGTTGCCCAGGCTAGAGAGCAGTGATGCAATCGTAACTGACTGTAGTCTTAAACTTCTGGGTTCAAGCGATTCTCCTGCTTCAGCTTCCCAAATACCTGGGACTACAAGCATATGCCACCAATCCTGTCTAATTTTTTTTTTCATAGAGAGAGAGTCCCACTATGTTGCCCAGTATGGTCTCAAACTCCTGGCTTTAAGTGATCCACCAGCCTTGGCCTCCCAAAGCTCCGGGATTACAGGTGTGAACCACTGAGCTCAGCTCTCATAGCCGATTTTTGAGGCCTCTCTGCGGTCTCCAAATGACAGAGAAGAAGAATTAAGGATGAGCTACATGGGGAAGTGAGGGCCTCAGGCCTACCCCATCCTATTTTATGGAGGAGGCAGCAGAGGCTCAGGGAGAAGAAACTCAATCCCACAATCATTAGTGGCTGAACCAGGCTGAGGACAGGCGTCTCCAGCATGTTTTCTGACATGATGCGTTCAAGTCAGCTCTGTGTGGAGGACCTGGTGGGGAGGGAGCAGGCAGGACAATGTCAGGCCCTGCTCCAAGCTTGCTCTCTCAGATGTCCTCTGTGGAGGCCCCGATGAGCTCATGGACAGTTGCTCCAGGAGCACAGAGCACAGTTTTGTCCAGATGTGAAGGATTAGCGCTGAGCCACGTGGGGAGCGACCTCAGCCCAGCCTTTTCCCTGGAGGGGATTTGGAGCCAAGTTAGACCTCATTACAGACACTAGAGAGCAGGGTGTTCTAGGCCAGTGGAGAGGAGCAGGCTCTAGTTGTTCCTGACTTCCAGCGCAGCCTGGCTCCCACTTGGCTGGCAGGGTCACACTGTATCCTTCTGGCCTGAGCCTGGGAGAAGTGTGTGAGGGGAGAGTGGCTGCGGTCTGGGGGAGGGCAGGTGAGGCTCAGGGGAAGGGCCCGGCCAAAGGCCTCTGGACAGAGCCAGCAGGCGGTGTGTGTATTCACAGACTCACGACGACAGGCCCTCCCCAGGACGGCCACTCTGTGGGTGAGAACAGCTCTTCCTCTCCAAGCTGATCAGCCCAGTTTCAGCTGAAACAGAGTTAAAATTTGGAGTCCCAGACTGGGTGCAATGGCTCACACGTATAATCCCAGCACTTTGGGAGGCCAAGGAAGGTGGATCACTTAAGCCCAGGAGTTTGAGCTTAGTCTGGGCAACGTGGTGAAACCCCATCTCTACAAAAAATACAAAACTTAGCCCGGCATGGTAATGTGCGCCTATAGTCCCAGCTACTCTGGAGGCTGAGGTGGGAGAGTTGCTTGAACCCGGGAGGCAGAGGTTGCAGTGAGTCATGATCGTGCCTCTGCACTTCAGCCTGGGTGACAGACTGAGACCCTGTCAAAACAAAAAAAGAAAGAAGAAATAAAAAAAGGAGTCTCTTCCCCATAGCCTCCTCTAGACCTGCCCCTGCCTCTCAAGGGCCTTCTCAGGATATGGGGCCAGGATGGAGCATAGCCCCCAGGTGGGACCTCTCTCTCTGAATATTTTACACGGATGCCTGCAGCCCACGGTGGCTACTGCTTTCTGCTGACAGCCCCATCAGACAGCTGGCTTTTATTAGGGAACGTTTCAAACCACGCCCACAATGGTAGAGAGAAAAGCTGAATGTACCCCTACGTGCTCATCACCCAGCTCCAACAATTAGCAGCTCTCAGCCCATCTTGTTTGCTCTAAACATCCACACAGTCCTCTCCCCCATCCCCACCCAGGCCTGGATTATTTGGAAGTAAATCCAAGACAGCATAACATTTCATCTGTAAATATTTCAGTATGGGTCTTTAAAAGACTCGCCTTAAAGAAATAACCAAGGCACCATTATCATGTCCTCCTCCCTCCCCACGTTCAGGAATAACACCATTATCTTTTGAAGAGTCTTTTCGAAGTTTAATGGAGGGAAACAATGAAAAGGAAAATTCGAAAAACAGATTGTTCTCCACAAAAGATGCTCGGATTGGAAGGACGCTTTGTCCCTGGTCTTCTTCCTATCCCTGAGTGGAAGCACTGAGATCTAGATAGAGTTGGAATCAGAAAATCACAAGGCAGGGGGCCCCACTTTGATGAGTTGAAGCCAGGAGGTCAGGGTGCCTGAGGTCCAGGCATTTGCTGATGGTGTGAGCTTGGGCAAATCACTTGGCCTCTCAGAGTTACACATCCATCACCAGCTCTGTCCTGTCTCAAGACCTGCCCCCCTTCTAGACAAGTGCAGATGGCCCCTTGGCCAACCCATCCAACACCAAGGCCTTAAGCTACAAGCATTGCACCTAGAGGGCTCAAACTCCGTAACTCCCCACACTGAGCTTTGGATGCCCACATCCATGGCCGCAGCCTTGATATTGTCACTATCTGAAGCCGCTCTACCTGTAAAAGCTAAAATTGCAATATTCTTTACCTCCTGTTCCTCTTGTGATTCCTAAGACCTCCAGTCTCTTTAGCCCCACCTTCTTCCAGTTTATCGGCCCTCTTCTTGGCCTCATTTCCTTCCTTATCCCAGCTGGATTCCAGGGCTCCCCTCCTAAACCTCTGGCTGGTCAAATCTCAGTTCCTTGTCCCCTTGCCTCCACCACATCTACCCTGCAGACTCCATCCAGCCATCTGTCTTTGCTGCTGTGCGCCTAGACTGTGGAGCACTGCTGGGGGAGGACTCACACTTCCAGGATTCCTTGTTGATGCTGGCTCATTCTGCATGGTCCTCCTACCCTGCCTCCCTCATTCTGCACATCCCCTTTTGAAGCCCTCTCTTTATTCAAGTCCCTTACCTGGTGGTGCACTGATGGACTGGCTCTCAAAAAGAAAAAAAGGGGGGCAGGGGTTGGTGATTTCTGTGGTGTAAATATTCTCATCATGGCCACCATTTTTTTTTTCTTTTTACTTAAAAATTTTTTTCTTTTAAGGGATAGGGTCTCAGTGTGTTGATCAGGCTGGTCTCAAACTCCTGGCCTCAAGTGATCCTCCCACTCAGCCTCCCACAGTACTAGGATTAAAGGCACAAGCCACCATTTCCAGCCACCATGGTCACTATTTTAACATCTGTGTTTAGTAACCTACTCATAGAATTCTTGAAATTTTAACAGCTAGCTCTCTTCCCTACGTGTTCTCTTTCTTACTGCACAGAGTAAACAGAGCCCATCAGGCAGGAGCTCACTCCACTTTCTGGCCCTCTAGTTAGATGGTTTGCCTTTGCCCATTTTTGCTGCATTCCCTCTGTCTTCCTTCCAGATGTGTTCCCACCCACTTTGGATCCGGGACCTCCCATAATTCAGGAAGAGCATTCCTTTGCTTCTCTTGTCTTCCTTTTGTCCCTCAGACCGTAAACATCATTGTGTTTTCCACTGCTTAAAACACACACACACAGACACACACACACAACCATAAATACTTCTCTAGACCTTGTGATCCAGTCTCCTTTCCTTCACAGCCAAGCTTTGTGAAATTTTCCAGAATCCAAGCTTCTATCCCCAGCCTCACCTTCCCTTCTCATCTTACCACAATCCAAGCCCTGCTTTTTCCCCACTACTCCTAAAAGTGCTGGGGTGACATCTAACAAGGGCCTTTCCAGTGCTCTTTTTCCAGTCCTTATCTTGCTAGACCTCCTCACTGCTTTCGGCCATGCTGACCTTTTTCATTCTCTGCAGAATCTGTAGAGCTTGGCTGCTCTTGACTTCTGGGGCAGCACTCTCCTTCTTGAGTGTCAGCGTTCTCCAAGGTTCCAGCCAACTCTGATGCCCCACAGGCATCTCAGGGTTACCAACTCTGAAACCTGAGCTTGGAATCAGGGCTCTTAGACTTCTGCATGAGGGTTGATGGTGCCTGGAAGAGCCAACTCGAGGAGAACAATGGAATGGCAGATCCTCTGCTTATGAGTAGTGACTTTGGACACATACTTTCTCCCCTCTATGCATCAGTTTTCTTACGTGTAGATTGGGCGTACCAACAGGTTGTTGGAGAGGTTAAGTTAGCACCCTCCGTGGTACATGGTAAGCACTCATCACGTGCCAGCTGTAACTAATGGGTTCCCAGTGTCAGTGCTGCTATTGAAATACCTCCTCTCATTTTTCTCCTCATATTCCCACAGCTACTGCCTCTGCTCATCACTTCTCCTTCATCCCTCTTACCCTGATTGCTGCAGTAACTTCCTGCCTTCAAAGGCATCTCCCTCCAGTCTATTCCCTATATTTTAAAAATTCATGTTTGACTCTGTGACTCTTCTGTTAAAATAAACCCCCTTGGCTGGGTGTGGTGGCTCACACCTGTGATTCCAGCACTTTGGCAGCCTGAAGCAGGAGGATCACCTGAGGTCAGGAGTTTGAGACCAGCCTGACCAACATGGTGAAACCCCATCTCTACTAAAAATACAAAAATTAGCCAGGCAAAGTAGCAGGCGCTTGTAATCCCAGCTACTCGGGAGGCTGAGACAGAAGAATCACTAGAGCCCGGGAGGCGGAGGTTGCAGTGAGCCCAGATTGCCCCCCAAACATGCTCAGAACTGATTTATTAAAGCCTCTGGGCTAAAGCTCTGCCCCCTTGGTTTGATTTCCAGGATTTCCATCTCCAGTCTCTCTCCCGACCACCCTGTGTCTCCAGGCACTGCAGGCTCCCCACAGGGTTTGCACAGGCTTCTCTGTCACTGCAGTTGACTGGCTGGAGCCCGTCCTCCCTTCCTCCCTGGGCTTCACCTCCTTGAAGAAGTCCATGTGGGTCTGTAGGTGACTGGTGGGATTGAGATGGCTGGCACTCACAAACTGACCCCCCCAGGGCCTTCCTCTGCTTGCTCTTGCATTTGCTTTGGGGACCGACCTCACTGGAGCCCAGTGTTTACAGGAGTCTCTGGCATGATGGCAAACCAAGGGCCCCACAGTGACAAGACTTGTTTCTCCACAGCTGCAGAACCCTTCAGCCCTCCCCAAGGAGATGCAGCTCAGAGCACAGCGTGTGACAGACACATGGCCATGCAACGCCGTCTGGATGTCATGGAGGAGGTAAACCACAGGGTGGTTTGGAAGGACATGTGGGGTCAAGACCACCTTCTAAGATGGGATTTGTTGGTTTTTTTTTTTGAGATGGAGCTTTGCTTTTGTTGTCCATGCTGGAGTGCAATGGCATGATCTCAGCTCACCACAGCCTCCTCCTCCCGAGTTCAAGAGGTTCTCCTGCCTCAGCCTCGCAAGTAGCTGGGATTACAGGCATGCATAGCTGATTTTATATTTTTAATAGAGATGAGGTTTCTCCATGTTGGTCAGGCTGGTCTCAGACTCCTGACTTCAGGTGATCCGCCCACCTCCTCCCACAAAAGTGCTGGGATTACAAGCGAGAGCCACCAGGCCTGGCCTAGGATGGTGTTTTTATGGGAAGATGCAAGCTTGCTTTGGAATGTCAGGCCATACAGACCAATCCTGCACTGTGGCTGCCTTGTCCAACATCACCCTCCCATCTAGGCTGTCAGGCTGGCCAGTCTCCAGTGGACCCTGCTTCCCCTAAGGCCTTACTTGCCCCCGTGTGGGTATTTCAGCATCAATACTGGATGGGAAGGTGGAAATTCAGTCACTGTTTTGTTATTTAGCCACGATTCCTAACTTGTGTGGAAAAAAGCTTACATTTGTATTGTTGCAAGCCTTTAACTGAAATTGAGCATTCCCATTCATCATAAATACAGACAGCAAGCAGTGGTATTAACAGTACTATAACTTTGTCATCAATAGAAATCCAGATAATTTCATCTTGTTCTAGTTATGAATATCTGAACATATCATTTATACCCTTCCTATGTCAACTTTTCTGTTTTTGTTAGGCCTGATGTTAAATCATGTGATTTAGTGAGTTAATAAATACGTGTTTTTTGAGGCATTGTCTCCCTGTTACCCAGGATGGAGTACAGTGGTGCAGTCTCACCTCACTGCAACATCCACCTCCCAGGCTCAAGCAATCCTCCCACCTCAGCCTCCCATGTAGCTGGGACTACAGGTGTATGTACCACCATGCCTGGCCAATTTTTCTTTTTTTTGTAGATATGAGGTTTTGCTATGTTTCCCAGGCTGGTCTTGAACCCCTGAGCTCAAGCCATCCGCCCACCTCGGCCTCCCAAAGTACTGGGATTACAAGCATGAGTCACTATGCCCAGTCAATACATATGTTATATCCAAAAGTTTGAATTTTTATTTTACAGAGTCCTGCTCTGTTACCCAGGTGGAGTTTATGATTCAATCTCAGCTCACTGCAACCTCTGCCTCCAGGGCTCCAGTGATTCTCATGCCTCAACCTCCCGAGTAGCGGGGACTACAGACATGCACCACCATGCCCGGCTAATTTTTTGTATTTTTGGTAGACATGGGATTTCTCCATGTTGGCCAGACTGGTCTCAAACTCCTGACCTCAAGCGATCTGCCTGCCTCGGCCTCCCAAAATGCTGGGATTACAGGCGTGAGTCACTGTGCTGGGCCAAAAAGTTTAATTTTTAATAATGAATAATATTTTAATGCAATTGATGCCCTTGGTAATTCTATATGCTTTATTTTTTGCATTTAAGGCATTATTCTGAAAGGAGGTCTGTAGGCTTCACCACACTGCCAGTGGGGTCCATGGCATACACAGGGGAAAAAATAACTATTGGGAACCCTGAGTAAATTTCAAAATCCCAAATCTGTCATTCGGCAGAGACACCACCAGGGGGCGGAGCAACAAAAGAAATGTGAGCGCCAGCCTGCAAAGTCCCAAAAGGGAGAAGGCATTCTAAAGGCGTTTCATCCAAACCTGTGACTGAGTGCCAAAAAGGAAGGAGCCTTAGAGAGCGAGCCCCCTAGGATATTGTCATCTGGGGAAACTGAGGCAGGTAGGGGCAGAGCCTGAGTGAGGAAAACCCAGGTCCCGCAACACGCAGTCCTTTCCCACTGCACCCCACTGGACCGATAGCTGCTCCTTAGGGCCTTAGCTGATGAAGCAGAGTGCGGCACCACTCCTGTCCTCGACTTTACCCCCTTCCCACAATAGATGGTAGAGAAGACCGTGGAGCACCTGGCGACAGAGGTGAAAGGCCTGCTGGGCCTGCTGGAGGAGCTGGCCTGGAACCTGCCCCCGGGACCCTTCAGCCCCGCCCCCGACCTCCTCGGAGAAGGTGAGCGGTGCAGGTTGCAGAGGACAACCTCTGGACTGCTGTCATCTGGGGCCGGGCAGGCGAGACGGATGGGGCTACTCCACTGCACAGGTGTAGGCTGGACAGCAGGGAGGGCCCCAGCGCCCCCGGGGACGGAAGCGGGACGGCATCATCCCTCCTCCCCAACCCACACCCGGTCGCTGCGGCCCAATGTCAGACGAAATTCTGGAAGAGCCGGTCCTAGATACCAACTCAGCACACCCCAGCGAGGAGAAGCTGCCTCCTTCATTGGCCTTCTCTGGACTAAAGCTCCTCAGCTCCTTTGATTTCCCCCTGAGAAGCCATTCCTGTTCCACCCCAAAACCCTCACAGGGAAGACGGCACCCCACTGATCAGGCAGGGATGGAGTTGCTCTTTGCCCTCTCCTTGATCCCCGTGTCCCGGGGGGCTGGGGAGGGGAGGGAAAAAACTGCTGAGCAGCACGGGCCGGGGACCCTGCAGCACCCCAGCTTGCTCACTGGAGGCCGCCGCTTTCTTTCAGATGGCTTCTGAGCCCCGGAGCTGGAGCCCAGCAGCTGGAAGTGGTGCACCTGCCAGTGGTGCACCTGCCAGGCAGCACCCTCTGAGAGCCAGCCCTGTCCGCTCGCCTTCCTTCCCCAGCTTTGTGTGAAATAAAAGCTACTCCTTCCGTCTCCTCTGTGTCTGCTGACAGAGTAACCCGTTTAACTACAGGCCCCTCTCCCTCCACTTCCATGCCTGGAGGAGGCCTGCAACCCCCTCCAGGCTCAGACCTGGGGACACCCCCATTCCTGCCATCTGTGCTTTAGCCCTCCTTATTTACAGGAGCAGATGAGCAGGGGTTGATTCACAGAGGTGGGGGCTCTTCGAGTGGCCCTGCGTCTCAAAATGTGGCCATAGGTGAAAAGCAAGTGGATCAGGGTCTCAGGCCCCACCCAGACTTCTTAATCCAAATCTGCATTGCAATGAGACCCCCAGGGAATTTATGTGTCCATTAAAGTCGTTTGTTGTTTTTTTAAAAAAATTCCTATGAAGTGAAATTCAATGTAAAATTCACCACTTTAACCATTTTAAATTGTACAAGGCTGGGGGCAGTGGTTTACGCCTATAATCCTAGCCCTTTGGGAGGCCAAAGTGGGAGGCTCACTTGAGCCCAGGAACATGAGGCCATCGTGGGCAGTATGGTGAAACCCTATCCCTGCAAAAAATACAAAAAATAGCCTGGCATGGTGGCACAGGACTGTCGTCCCAGCTACTCAGGAGGTTGGGGTGGAAGGATCACCTGAGCCCAGGAGGTCAAGGCTGTGGTGAGCCATGATCATGCCACTGCACTTCAGCCTGGGTGACAGAGTGACAGCCTGGGTGACCTTGTCTCAAAAAGAAAAAAATCATACAAATGCAGTGACTTCTAGTACATTCACAAGTTGTCAGTCATCACCACCAGTTCCAGAACGTTGTTCTCACTCTAGAAAGAAACTCTGTACCTGTTAAGCAGTCACATCCCATTCCCGATCCCCCAATCCCCTGGAAACCACTGATCTCTGTCGCCGTGAACTTGCCTATTCTGGACATTTTAAATACAGCACTCCCACTTTATCTGTTGTTTCACTTTCCATGGTTTCAGTTACCTGCAGTCAACCACAGTCCTAAAATATTAAACTCCAGAAATAAACAACATATGAGTTTTCAATTGTGCATCATTCTAAGTGTGCATCATTCTTCGTCCCACCCCAGACACAAATGCTTCCTTTATCCACCGTGGTCCATGCTGTTGACCCTTCCTGCCTGTTAGCCACTTAGCAGCCTTCTCAGTTACCAGATCAACGGCCACAGTATCACAGCGCTCGTGTTCCAGCAACATTTCTTTTACTTAATAGAGACCCAAAGTGCAAGAGCAGTGTTGCTGGCATATGGTGGTGGTTTTTCATGCAACTTTCCCTTCACAGAAGCTGGCATATTGTTCTTTTTATTCTTAGCTATTGTTGCTAATCTCTCACAGCGCCTAATTTATAAACTTTATCGTACATATGCATGCATCAGGAAAAACATGGTACAATAGGATTAGATACTATTGTGGTTTTAGGCATCCACTAGAGGTGTTGAAATGTATCCCCTGAAGGTAAGGGGGTACTATCATACGATACGTAGCCTAGCTGTATCTGGCTTCTTTCTCTGATCATAATGTTTTCTTTTCTTTTTTTTTTTTTTTTTTAAGATGGGGTTTCACCATGTTGGTCAGGCTGGTCTTGAACTCCCGACCTCAGGTGATCCACCCCCCTTGGCCTCCAAAGTGCTTGGATTACAGGCGTGAGCCACCGCACCCGGCCCCGGATCATAATGTTTTCAAGGGCTGTCCGTATTGTAGCATGTATCAGTGCTTCATTCCTTCTTATGGATGAATAGTGTTCTCTTGTATGAATATACCACATTTTATTCATTTATTCATCAATTGATAGATATTTGGGTTGTCTGTACTTTTTGGCTACTATGAATAATGTTGCAATGAACATGCGTATATGAATTTTTGTGTCAATATTTGCTTTTTTATTTGTCTGGGGTCTATATGTAGGAATGAAATTGCTGAACCATATGGTAACTCTTATGTTTAGCTTTTTGAAGAACCACCAAGCTCTTGTATTGCAGCTGTACTGTTCTATATTCCCACGAGCAATATTCACTGTGGGTTTTTCCTGATGCTCTCTAGCAGGTTGAGACATTTTCCTTCTATTCTTAGTTTGTTAAGTGTTATTTTTCTGCATCAATTGAGATGATCATGTGATTTTTTCCCCTTTCATTTTATTAATTACATGCATTAATTTTTTTTTTTTTTGAGAGTCTTGCTCTGTTGCCCAGGCTGGAGTCCAGTGGCACAATCTCGGCTCATTGCAACCTCCATCTTTGGGTTCAAGCAATTCTCCTGCCTCAGCCTCCCGAGTAGCTGGGATTACAGGCTGCCCACCACCACACCTGGCTAATTTTTGTATTTTTAGTAGAGACGGGGTTTCGCCATGTTGGCCAGGCTGGCCTTGAACTTCTGACCTCAGGTGATCCACCCGCCTCTGCCTCCCAAAGTGCTGGGATTACAGGCTTTGAACTACCGTGCCAGACCTGATTTTTGCATATTAAATGACCCATGCATTCCTGGGATAAATTTCACTTGGTCATGGTGTATAATGCTTTTAATATGCTGCTGGATTTAGTCTGCTAGCATGTTGTTCAGGAGTTTTGCACCTATATTCATAAGACTTATTGGTCTGCAGGGTTTTTTTTCTTGTAATGTCTTTGTTTGCCTTTGGTACCAGGATAATACTGGTCTCATAGAATAAGTTAGGAAGTGTTTCCTCCTTTGCTTGCTTATTTATTTATTTAGGTAAGAGTTTGAGAAGGATTGGTGTTACTTCCTTAAATGTTTGCTGTAATTTACCAGTGAAGGCCCTGGCCTTTTCTTTGTTGGTAGGTTTTTGATCACAGATTTAATCTCTTTACTTATTATAGATCTATTCAGATTTTTTATTTTTCCTTGAGTCAACTTTGGTAATTTGTGAGTTTCTAGGAATTTGTCTATTTTGTCCAGATTATCTAATATGTTGGTATACAATTGTTCATAGTATTTTTTGTAATCTTTTATTTTTTCTTCGTAAGGTTTTTAGTGATGCCTCTGCTTTCATTTCTGATTCTAGTAATCAAGTCTTGAGTCTTCTATCTCATTCATTCACTGTCTCTCTCTGTGGGAGACAGAGTCTAGCTGAAGGTTTGCCAATTTTGTTGATTGTTTCAAAGAACCATTTTTTTTGTTCCATCGATTCTATTGCTTTTCTATTCTCCATTTTATTTATCTGCACTCCAACCTTTATTATTTCCTTCCCTCTAGTTGCTTTTGGTTTAGCTTGCTCTTTGTTTTCTAATTCCATAATATAGAAGCCTAGATTGTCTATTTCCTTTTTTTTTTCTTTTTTTTTTTTTTGACAGACTCTTGCTTTGTTACCCAGGCTGGAGCACAGTGGCATGATCCCAGCTCACTGCAACCTCCACCTCCCTGGCTCAAATGATCCTCCCACCTCAGCCTTCCAAGTAGCTGGGACAAGAGGGGGTTGCCACCATGCCTGGCTACTTTTTGTAGAGACTGGGTTTCATCATGTTGCCCAGGCTTCTTTTGGTTGTTTTTAAATGTACAATTAAATTACTAGAGTCACCCTGTTTTCTTACTCATTCTTTTTGACTAATGTTTTTATACCTATTAACCATGTTCGCCTCTCCCCAACCTGCCCCTGCCCATTACCCTTCCTAGCCTCTGGTGACAATCTTTCTGCTCTCTATGTCCATCAGTTCAATTGTTTTGATTTTTTAGATCCCACAAATAAGTGAGAACACATGATGTTGTCTTTCTGTGCCTGGCTTATTTCATTTAACTTAATGGCCTCCAGTTCTATCCATGTTGTTGTAAATGACAGAATCTCATCCTTTTTATGGCTGAATAGTACTCCATTGTATATAGGTATTGCATTTACTTCATCCATTCATCTGCTGATGGACACTTAGGTTGCTTCCAAATCTTAGCTATTGTGAACAGTGCTGCAACAAATATGGGAGTGCAGATATTTCTTTAATATACTAATTTCCTTTCTTTTGGGTATATATCCAGCAGTGGATTCCTGGATCATATGGTAGTTCTACTTTTATCCATTGAATTTTATCAAATGCTTTTTCAGCATAACTTGAAATGATCATATGGTTTTTGTCGTTCATTCCATTGATATGAGGTATCACATTGATTGGTTTACATATGTTGAACCATCCTTTCATCCCAGGAATAAATCCACTTGGTCATAATAAATGATCTTTTTAACGTATTGTTGAATTCAGTTTGCAAGCATTTTGTTGAAGATTTTTGCATGAATATTCATAAGGGATATTGGCCTATAGTTTTCTTTTTTTTTGATGAGTCTTTGTCTAGTTTTGTTATCAGGGTAATCCTGGCCTTGTAGAATGAGTTTGGAAATACTCCCTCCTGCTCTATTTTCAGAATAGTTTGAGTAGGATTGGTATTAGTTCTTTAACTAATGCTAACTTATTGTAACACTTACTAACTTATTCTATGAGACCAGTATTATCCTGGTACCAAAGGCAAACAAAGACATTACAAGAAAAAAAACACTACAGACCAATAAGTCTTATGAATATAGGTGCAAAACTCCTGAACAACATGCTAGCAGACTAAATCCAGCAGCATGTTAAAACCATTGGTAGGATTCAGCAGTGAAGCCATTGGGTCCTGGGGTTTTCTTTACTGGGAGACTTTTTATTACGGCTTCAATCTTGTTGCTTGCTATTGGTCTGTTCAGGTTTTGGGCTTCTTCATGATTCAGTCTTGGTTAGTTGTAGGAGTCCAGGAATTTATTCATTTCTTCTACATTTTCCCATTTATTGGTATATAGTTGCTCATAGTAGCCACTAATGAGCCTTTGAATTTCTGTAGTATCAGTTGTAATGTCTCCTTTTTCACCTCTGACTTTATTTCTTTGGGCCTTCTTTCTTGTTTCCTTAGTATGGCTAAATGTTTATCAATTTTGCCTAACTTCAAAAAACCAACTTTTTGTTTCATTGATCTTTTGTATTGTTTTCTTCATTTCAATTTCACTTATTTCTGCTCTGATCTTCCTTCCTTCCTTCCTTCCT